AAACAAACAAACAAAAAACATTTAAACCTACCGGGTAAAGAGTTGATTTGTGTTACCAGGTTGGGAGATGGTCTCTGTGTCATTAATACAAACTAACAGTGAAGTGAGCAAACCTGTGCCATCTGTTTAGTGGAAATGGGTGATGAACAGTGATCTTTTGTTATCCATCCACCACAGAACTTTTCAAGCATCAAACAAAACTTCAATACAGTAAAATGAAAATGTCCAAACTGTACATCCAAATTAAAATATTCACCGACTGTTACACGAAGCTTGGCTCATGAATTTATGCAACTGGCCCCGATATTCACTTTGTTTTCAGGAGTTATTCCACCATTGACCACTGAGTGGAGTTGGCATAGCATTTTTTTGCTCTCCATACAGTTCATGAATTCAGCTTGCTGATATCAGGATTACCTGATAACTTGCACTGCACCCACTAATCTAAATCTCATCTACTTACTCCACAACTCCATAATACTGGTCAAAACTCTGTCACTAAGGCTTTGAAGTCCGAGTCTGAAAATAGAGGGTTGTGCCATAGGGGCTACAACAATCTTTACATACAGTCTATGGTATGTAGTGCTTTTTCAAGAAGCCGTTTTGAAGAAACTTCTTGGCCTCTGATGGGCCTTAAGTGTTCTAAATCCTTCCATCTGTACAGATTACCTGTCTGCTCCCAGATGCTATCCTCCTCCTTGGAAGGACCGTCATCTAGGAAAGGTCAATTAAATAATGTTGGAAGTGAAATACCTCCCATGACATTTGGACTTGAGAATGCTGTATGTACATAATATTACTGGCTGCTAATAACAATGCTGGTCTTTTGCGCTAACTGATGTCCTGTCATTGGTCCACATATTACTCATAATACTGATCCATTCAGATAGACAAAAACATAAAGTTTATACACTAATCTGTCTTATATTTTCCAGCTGGTGTGTTGTTGTTTTTTTTGTTCTGCACTTTAAAACACCCTGTAGTCCTCCTGTCAGTCTCTGGGGCTCACCTGAGCAGCTGCCACCACCAACACTCAAAATGAGTCCATCAGGGGAGCACCGACACACACACTTGTGCAAACTTGCCTTATTAGCTGCTCCAGATTGGCCATCCTAAAGCCCAGATGTCTGTGACCTCCCACTGCCCCCTAAATGCAAAGCTATTGTGATTAAAGCATGATTGGCAGTGCTGGTTATTAATTCTAATCTGGGCCACATATGTGGGGTGGTGGGCAGAGGGCAGGCAGCAGTGTGTGCCAGGCTCACGCCAAACGGAGGCTAATTCAGTCTGACACGCTATCAGAGCAGACTCTCACACACACATGCGTGCGACATTCCCCCGATGTGCCGACACAGCTATAGGCAACACACATTTTTCCTCTAATGCGCAGGAGCGAGGAGAGAAGGTTATCCTTTAACAAGAAGCGCGTACACATTTCACAGCACTCCAACACAAAAGTGGCATTTCCCGAAAACCATTAAGGTGCTCTGTAACTTCAAGTACATCATTTGAAAGCAGAAACAGCATGTGTTTTGCAAATCATTTCCATCTCGAGACTCGTATAAAGGTCTTACATTTACCACTTAGAGGCAGAAACTAGAGTGAAGGGTTATTTTCAAAATATGTTTTCTTTCCTTCAAGGTAAAAGCCTCGAAGCAAATGATGTCTTGTCTGTATTACCAAGTCACTTCTCGGGTTAAGGTGTCATCTCTGTGGCTGCAGTCAGCCTGGAATTACTGCAGGAGTATTACAGGAGGAATGGACGGACTCTGGCTACTCATCATGGGGATGCTGTTTTATTGTAGACTCTAATGAAAATAACAGCCAACGCATGGTGATTTAAATGTATGCAGGTTCATTTGCTAGGACTAACATCTCCTGTAATACTTGAAGTAACTTGGTAGTTGGCAAATGAAGCAATCTTTAAAAGATGTGAACAGGATTAACATTGACTATATTGGACACTGTTGTAACTCAATGTTTTTGAGGCCACAAACTACTAATTTGCAATTTAAAAAAAGGTTTTCTGCTGCAATGATGGCTCTATTCATCTAAATCGGAGGTGTGTGTAGGTGTGTGTGTAAAATCTAAGCGGATTGTAAGTAGAAGGACAGAGAGAAGGATGAGGTACTGTTGCTTTTCCTGTAGAGGGCATTGCTTTATCATGGAAGGGAAATGCATTCATGTTTTTGACACAGTTGGTTGAAAATGGCAGCAGAGAGGAACACTCTGTTTTTGAGGGCAGCTCAAATCAGCACATTTACATGTTCAGACTGGCAGATTTGGTTTAAAGTGCACAGTATGAATGAATGTATGGGTAAATGTAACTAGTACTTTGAGTGGTCAGTAAGAAAACATGTGAGTACATTACAAGCGCACATGTTTTTGTGGATCGAACACACTGTGGTCAGACTAGTTTGTGTATTTAGTATTAGTTATCTCCTTTTTGCTGGATTAAACAAGTGTAAAACCAGGCTTATGGTTGAGTAGTCCACTTGTAACTCTCTAATTGAGGGAAGTGACCCAGACACACCAGCATGGCCACCATAATAACATCTGCTTAAATTCCTTAATGCTTCCTTTGCAGCCATGTCACTTATCGGGATGACTGGAAAGTGGTACAAAACAACATGTAAATTATTCTGTTTCCCATAATATACCATAACTTTGCTAATACATGTGTTTTGAACACACAAAAAATGTAATGGAAACATCTATTAAACAGTTTTATAAAAGTGTGCTTGCTATAGTCAGTGGGGGGGGGGGGGG